CTCCCCAGATGCTCACAAGCCAAACGCTGGGAATTCCACCCAGGTCTTCCACGTGGCGGCAGGGACTCAGCCACGTGCGCCATCACCTGCTGCCTCCCAGAACGCGCATCAGCAGGAAGCTGGGTCAGAAACGGGGCTGCAGGCCACACCCACACCTGGACATGGACGCGGGTATCCGGAGTGGCAAACACTCACACTGACAAACCTCAGAAACACCTAAAACCAATCAAATCATCATCACATACTGGGACTGACAGAATCAGCTGTGCATAAAGACAATGGTGCACCTTTAATATAATGACAATGCTTCAAAGACAGTGATTTTTAATAGAAACTTTTTCATTATCACAAATAATGTTATTCTCAGAAATCAACTAAAATGAAAACCTATGTTAATACTTTTTAATTGCATCTGTAAATTCTTCTGGACGTCTGTGAAATACTAAATTCTAATGTATTACTACAGGTTATAACTTTTGTATAAAATTCAAAAATGGCAGTAAATTCCACATTGTATAAATCCACTTCAAACTTCACATGAAATGCCCATGTATTATTTATAGGAGTAATTTCATCCTGTAATTCTGATCAAATCATAAATAATGAGATGAAGCTTAAAATAGAATTTAGCTTTATTGAAATACGTGATTGCATATTTCTTCCTTTCTTCATTTTTAAAAGGTTAAAACATGACATTTTGGGTCCACATTCAATAGTAGTAAGTAGTTTAAGTATAATAATGAGATTCCAGATGTCTGACCCACAGCAGAGTTTTAAATACTGCAGGCTGGTGAGATGGCAATCAACAGATGCAGAAATGCAATGAAAAATGCAGAAAAAATCTCTCTCTCAAATTACATGGAGGTTTTGTATGTAAATCTACACAAAAGTATAAATTTAGGTACAAATAAGTTTTATACCATTTTTACCTATGTGTATGTATATGTGTACAATACGGGTTTCACTATTTGTGTTAAAGTTTTCCCAAAACTCCCAACCACAAATGATGTCCCTAACTGGCGTTTTCAGTCACACAACTGGAGCCCTACATGCTGATTCGGTCAGTGTGAAATGCCCTCGGAGGGGCTCTGCAGGCAGATGGTGAGAACCAGCCTCCGCTCCCGTCAGCCGCGCGGCCAGCAGTGCGCATTTCTGGAACATGATGGACATGACGCATTGTTAAACACAGTTCCCATTTTTTTTTTTTTGACAGGCAGAGTTAGTGAGAGAGAGAGACAGAGAGAAAGGTCTTCCTTTTTCCGTTGGTTCACCCCCCCCCCAAGTGTCTTCCACAGCTGGCACGCTGCACCAATCTGAAGCCAGGAGCCAGGTGCTTCCTCCTGGTCTCCCATGGGGTGCAGGGCCCAAGCACTTGGGCCATCCTCCACTGCCTTCCCCGGGCCACAGCAGAGAGCTGGCCTGGAAGAAGGACAACCGGGACAGAATCCGGTGCCCCGACTGGAACTAGAAACCTGGGTGCTGGCGCTGCAGGCGGAGGATTAGCCTAGTGAGCCGCGGCGCCGGCCCAAGTTCCCATTTTAACATTACTTCTAAAACGCTCACAGGAAAATACATGAAGGCGTACAGTAGAAACTGAAGTCCACCCATCAACAATTCTGGGGCTGATTTTTCTGCCAGTATTTTGTTCTTTGGCTGCACTTCACCCAGGATTTTCTCATAGCCACATGTGTACACATGTGTGTGCATATGCATGTACACGTGTCATCTGAGCGTGCATGTGTACATGTGTGCTGTAAGCAGATGTATGTGCTGTGTGTATGTACATGTGAACATGTCTACTGCATATACAACCGGATGAATGTTTGCTGTATGTGTGTACATGTGTGCTGTTTTATGTTGTGCATATTTGTGCATTCATGTGTGTACATGTGTACTGTGTGTGCACTGTGCAGTAACTGTGCATGTATGATGCAAGTGAACATGTATACATGAGTGCTGTCTTGTGTTGTGCACATTTGTGCATGCATGTGTGTACATGCGCATTGTGCAATAACTGTGCATGTATCCTGTGTGTGAACATGTGCACATGTGTGCTATGTGTACAATATAACTCTGCATGTTTCTGTACAAGTGTGTGTACATGTGCTGTAAGTCTCTTTGTGCCATGTAAATTGGTGCACACATGTCTATGCATGTATACTGTGTGTATAACTATGCATGTTTGCTGTGTGTTCATATGAACATGTGTACTGTATAGTTTGCTGTGTGCATTTGTGCACACATGCAACATGTGTGCATTGCATTTTAACTATGTGCATGAAGTGTGCACGTGTGTGCATGTGTGCTGTGTATGCCAAGACAGGACAGCAGATTTTCTCTAAGTTCCAATGTACTGGATTCATAACTGCTTACAACCCTTGTGGTGGACAAATCAAGTCATTTCTCTCTACCCAAGTTTTATAAACGTGAATCACGATAACAAGGCCAGCCCCACCCAGGTGCAGAGAGAGGGCATGGACTGGTGTGCCCCAGCCCCTGCTGAGCCAGCCTGGGCAGCAGCCCTGCTCTGCAGTCCCCAGGAGTCTACGCCTCAGACTGGCCTCTGGGTCAGGAGCTCCCTACCCCCCCACCCCCGTCACCCACGGCTCTGCCCCTGTGGCTTTCTCATTGAAGGGGCTCTCACAGGTCTTCTCCGGGCCCTGCAGCCTCAGCTCCATGAGGGGTGGGTGGCTGGCCCTCCGGGCAGTTCCACCTTACGCAGATTGAACCTTGCATGGACCACAGGAGCTCACCTCTGAAGTGGGTCACCCCGAATCACCCTTGCACACGGGAGTAAGATCCGAGCACTGCTTGTCCTGTCCTCTGATTTTGGGCCAATACCACAGTGTTTTACTGTTTGACTATGTAACTGCAAAGTATCCAACAGGTCAAACTTGTCTCTCGTCCCACACATCTTCAACCTAGTCATTTGTGCTTGGTGAACGATTTTCAGCATTCCCACTTGTTCACTGTCATCTCCTTCAGAAGTAGTGTGTCCCCTCCTGGACACACACCACTCCACACCAGAGTCCACAAAGCTTCGGTGGCCCACAGGCGCTGCTGCATGCGTCAGTATTTTATCAAGCTGGAGGCACAGCAGAGAGTGAGCTGCTGCTTTCCTCTCCGCCCTTCCTCTTCGTTCTTTGCTATGCAATGACTGCCAGCAGCAGCCACCGTGACAACGTCATGATGGTTATGCTGGGCACGTGACATTTCCTCCTGGGTGGAGGAAGGGGGAGGCTCCTGGGGGTGCAGAAGGTGCCTCAGGATGTTGGGCTGGGCAGGGGATTCCATCCCAGCATACGTGCAACTCAGGCAAAACCAGAGCCAAATTCGAGGAAACCAAGCTCTAAGAACTGCTCAGAATTCAATGGATGAGGTAGATCGAATCCGTCTCCTTTGTATTAAGATCACATTAATACAAGGATTGATCTGGCACGTGTTATAGCAATCATGCATCTGCTGTGACCTTGGAAATCTAACGTATGAATAAATACCTTTACGAAAGAGGAAACTGAGGGATACACCATGAAGAGGAAGGAGCCCTGGCTGCATAATCAGAAGGGAAGAGGAGTTGATGAGATGGAGTCTGAGAGGTGCAGTCGAAGGGAAAGCCCTCCAGTGGGAGGGAACACGACCAGCACCACCACAGGGCAGAAACATGGGGACCTGCCCAGGGGGCCGAGGGGAAGCGAGCCAGGGAGGCCAGGGCTGGCAGGGTCCACAGGCTCGGGGTGAGCCAGGCGCTCGGGCACTGAGCCCTCAGCCAAGTGTGCAGGGTTTTCCTGCACAGAGAGTGCTGTGAACGGGGAGTGGGAGGGTGCCGTGGGGCTCTGTCCATGTTTCAGGGCACTAGCACCAGCACTGTAATTGGCCACCTGCTTGTCCAAGCTTCTGACTTCGAAGCACACTGACCTTGGAGGGTGCACAGACCCCAGCCGAGGACTGGGCAGGACCAACTGAGGAGAGGATTCGTGGTTCATGTTACTCCTGAGTCTGGGTTATAAACCCATTCCCTGCACAGGGCTTTTAAATCCACCTAACGCATGAGGGAGCAAGCCGGGAAACGTGTCCGGCGCGATCCAGGCCAGGGCTCACGTTGCTGTCACAGCCGACTGGGCACCAGCTCTCAAGGGAGTGGTTGTTCCCATCTTACGTCACCCTTGGGTTCCTCGCTGCAGGAAAAGCATCCAACCCATGGCCTGTGACACCTCCGACGCCAACGCCCCCCGGAGGCTCAGTGAGCCCTGAGCTTTCCCAGCCCAGAGCTGCCAGGGCAGATCTGTCAGGGAGCTCCTTGCAAGCGCCTGCCCGGGATCTCAGGTTTCCCTTTGAGAAGCCCCGTCTTCATTTTCTACCCAGCTGAGTCACCAAGAAGCCGTGGCCCTTTCTTTGCCTGATGTCTGAAAGCTCCTTCTAAGAGGAGGGCCTGGGCCTGGCAGGGCATCCATCAGAGGTGTCACTCACCTGGAGTACCTGCCTCAGCCCACCAGGGCGTCCATCAGAGGTGTCCCTCACCTGGAGTACCTGCCTCAGCCCACCAGGACGTCCATCAGAGGTGTCCCTCACCTGGAGTACCTGCCTCAGCCCACCAGGACGTCCATCAGAGGTGTCCCTCACCTGGAGTACCTGCCTCAGCCCACCAGGACGTCCATCAGAGGTGTCCCTCACCTGGAGTACCTGCCTCAGCCCACCAGGACGTCCATCAGAGGTGTCACTCACCCAGGTACCCACCTCAGCCCACCAGGATGTCCATCAGAGGTGTCACTCACCCAGGTACCCACCTCAGCCCACCAGGATGTCCATCAGAGGTGTCACTCACCCCGGGTACCCACCTCAGCCCACCAGACGTCCATCAGAGGTGTCACTCACCCAGGTACCCGCCTCAGTCCACCAGGACACCCATCAGAGGTGTCACTCACCCGGGTACCCGCCTCAGCCCACCAGGATGTCCATCAGAGGTGTCCCTCACCCAGGTACCCGCCTCAGCCCACCAGGACGTCCATCAGAGGTGTCACCCACCCCGGGTACCCGCCTCAGCCCACCAGGACGTCCATCAGAGGTGTCCCTCACCCCGGTACCTGCCTCAGCCCACCAGGACGTCCATCAGAGGTGTCCCTCACCCCGGGTACCCGCCTCAGCCCACCAGGACGTCCATCAGAGGTGTCACCCACCCCGGGTACCTGCCTCAGTCCACCAGACGTCCATCAGAGGTGTCCCTCACCCCGAGTACCCGCCTCAGCCCACCAGACGTCCATCAGAGAATCAGAGATGTCCCTCACCCCGGGTACCTGCCTCAGCCCACAAGGACGTCCATCAGAGGTGTCACTCACCCCAGGACCCACCTCAGCCCACCAGGACACTGCTTCCTTGGTCACAAGGTAAGACACTCCCGGGCCAGGCGATGTGCCCGAGCAGTCACAGCACCAAGCACTCTCAAATTCTGCACCCTGCTTGGCATTTTTTGCCTGTAACAGATTGCATTTCCTGTAGACGTCAGCCTAGAATCTGAGCAAATTTGTCCTGACACATTTATGTCCAGTGTGTCCCTTACCTTTGCAAACAAACTCCCAGAAACAAAAACAAAAACCCAGTCTTTCCCTGTGTTAAATGCCTTTACCTTTTACCCACAAGGAAACCTTGCCGTGTCAGCTTCTCTTGCACACCCTTTTCTGCAGTTGATTAAATCAGTGATGTTACAGTAGCTCCGTTATTCACTAATAGGATAAGGAGCAGCAAGTCACTCCCACACAGATCTCTCTTTGGGAAGGAGAAAAGCAGAGATCTGAAGATACAGCCGCGGCAATCGCAGAAGTGAACTGTAACGCGAGGGCCCAGATCCACCTCCTGAACAGAAACGGAGATCTGATAACCTGGGGCTTCCGTTCAGCGGTGGGAGACTATGACCCACTCCCGCCGGCGCCAAATTCATTAATGAGGCGGTGCTGGGCACCTGCGCGCTGATCCCAAAGTCCCCTCCCCCTCCTTGCCTGGCCTTGGTGAGATGCATACAAATAACCACGGTTTCTGAGCAACTGTCAGTCAACGCTGCGCGCAGGATGCAGGAGACGCGGGGCCCAGGACCGTCTTCAGACCACCACGCGTCGGCTCTCCGGAAGGCGCTGAATAAATTAAACCAAAATATCCACCCCAGGTTGATGTGTCTGAACCTCGCAGCAAACATTCTTCATCCATATTTAATTGCTCCGTGGAGACTGCTGGCTTTGGCAAGGCTCCAGGCATTATTTCCATTCCATTAGGAAGCTCGCAGGGTGTCTACTCCTTAACCCAAAATGATTGATTCCATAAATGGCTTTTCACTTACTGACCTGAACGCTAATTGAGTTTGTGTATAGATTAAAAGAAAAAGCGTGTTTTCAGAAAATGTTCAAAATATATTGCTGTCACTTCCATTCCTTGTAGCACGGGAAAATGGCATATCTAAATGATGACACTAAACATTTTATCTGAATTGGCTCTTTAAAATGTGGTGTGCAGCAAATGAAGTTAAAGAGCTGGGGAACAAAAGACAGCCGGAATAGATTTTTCAGCGGAACAGGAGACAGTCGTCATTAACAAGGGAATAAACAGGCGTGGACCTATGAAGACCCTCATTGTGGCAGCTCCAGGTCTCCAGCCCGGGCTGAGCGTGTTTCTTGTGAGAAAACTTTACCTTCTTGTAGGCTGTTACAGAAAGGAGAAGCCCAGAGTACCCACATGGGAGAGAAAGCTAAGTGTTTCTTAAGGTCTTTTTTACCAGCCGGTCTAAAAGGCTGACGTGTACATGGCCTTACTTGCTAAGTAAAACTCAGACCGTCTTACACAGTTTCTGAAGACGAGGTACACCTAAGGGACGAACGGAATGGGACCTCGCGTGAGAAACAGCTCAGAGTCCTCAGTTTACCCAACTCTAGGCCACCCTGTGATCTACTGATCACATTAAGATCCCTAAACCTCTAGCCCAACTGAGACCAAATAAAAGCACTTTCCAGAAAACCACCCAGATAATAATTGTTCCAATCCCGCACGTGGGGAATTAGAGGAAATCTGTGTTTCAGGCACACGCCATGTGTTTCTTTCAGATGGTCACCTCCCATCTGAAAACATAGGCAGCTTCGTGTTCTGGAGGCTATGTTCTCCTTACCCTATGCATTTTTCCCCAGCAGTTATTCTACAGTCCACCAGAAGTACTCTTTCTACAATAGTATCCAGAATTCTCAGCAACACTTTCACAGTTGACATCTAAATTGTTTTCCTTAAACAAGTAAATTTAAAGAAATAAAGGGCATCCAAAAAGGACAGGACTTCACACAGACACAAAGTTCCTGCCATACGACGACTAGAACTGATAAATTAACTCCTTCAAGTCTGAGGATACAAAATCAACATGCAAAAACCAATACCAATTCTATACGCCAACAGTAAACTCTAAAAAAGGAACCCCTGTGTACCACTGATGGTGTAAAATTTTTTTTTTTGACAGGCAGAGTTAGACAGTGAGAGAGAGACAGAGAGAAAGGTCTTCCTTCCATTGGTTCACCCCCCAAATGGCCGCTACAGTCAGTGCGCTGCTGCTGGCACAATGCGCCAATCCAAAGCCAGGAGCCAGGTGCTTCCTCCTGGTCTCCCATGCAGGTGCAGGGCTCAAGCACTTGGGCCATCCTCCACTGCCCTCCCAGGCCCCAGCAGAGAGCTGGACTAGAAGAGGGGCAACTGGGACAAAATCCAGCGCCCCGACCGGGACTAGCACCTGGTGTGCTCGCGCTGCAGGTGGAGGATTAGCCTAGTGAGCTGCAGAGCTGGCCTAATGGTTTAAAATAAATGAGATATTTTCAATAACTGTAGAGTTTCCTAAAATAACTAATAATAGAATCCCCATATGATTCCGCTACTGAGTATATTCCCAAGGGAACTGAAATCGGCATGTCAAAGTGCTACCTGTGCTCTCCTGTTTACTGCGGTATTTGTCACCACTAATAAGCTAATAAGTGCCCACCAGTAAGTAAATGGACATACAAAATGTGGTTTATGACTGAACGTAAAATAGAACACAAGTCAGCCTCAAACATGAGGAAAATTCTGTCATCTGTGGCTGCATAGATAAAGCTGGAAGACATGAGAAGAGAAATAGGAGAGGGACACCATCTCACTTGGATGTGTTCTCTTAGAAAACCAAACTCATAATGTAGAGAGTGGAATGGCTGTGTGCGTGTGTTGTGTGTGTGCATATATGCATGTAAGGGTGTGCGTGTGTGTAAGGATATGTGTGCATGTGCTGTGTGTGCATGTATGGGGTGTGTATGTGTGTATGTGCTGTGTGTGTACATGTGTAGGGGTGTGTGTGCAGGGATGTGTGGGGGTGTGTGCGCACTTGTTGTGTTTGTATGCATGTGTGTTACATGTGTGTGCATGTGAGCATGGGTAGGGGTGTGTATGTACTTGTGCAGGAGTGTGTGTGTATTGTGTTTGTGTGCCTGTGTGTTATGTGTATATGCATGTATGTACTGTAGGGTTATGTGCATGTGTAGGGGTGTCTGTGTGTCTATGTTGTGTAGGGGTGTATGTATGTATAATCATCCAATAAAAAGAAAATTATCAACCTTTTAAACTAAAAGAAATTCAAATTAAAACTACAAACAACTACCATTTTTATGTATATATAAAAAGAAATGATTAACATTTTGATAATATACTCTTGGTAAAAGTGTGATGACAAAAATTTTACAATAAACCCACACATGGTTCAGTAATGGTGGCTTTTTTAAAAAAGTTCATCAATGGAGCTGGCACCATGGCTCACTTGGTTTATTCTCCACCTGCAGCGCTGGCATCCTGTATGGGCACCAGTTCTAGTCCCGGTTGCCCCTCTTCTAGTCCAGCTTCTAGTCTTGAAACCCAGTAGAACAATAGATAACAGCCCAAGTACCATGACCCCAGCAGTAACCAAGAAAACCACCAGGAGGCATCTGGCTCCTTACGTCCAATCGGCATAGTTAAAACGTTAGAGTCCATTTGGGGGGTGAACCAACGGAAAGGAAGACCTTTCTCTCTGTCTCTCTCTCTCTCACTAACTCTATCTGTCAAATAAATCAGTAAAAACAAACAAACAAAGTTCATCAATGACTATCAAAATTAAAAGTGCATAGTCTTAGCTCAATAATTACATTTCAAGCACCACCCAATACAGCTGTATGCAAATCTGAAATAAATATAAATAAAAAGATCATCACTGTACATATTTGTAGGTAACCAAAAATTATCCCAGTAAGGGAGTGGTGTAATAAATGATGGCTCATCTATGCAAGGTGGGAAGAGCTACAGTATATGTTATTAAATAAAAATGGGTGGGCAGAGCCGTGTCTGTAACAGACTTCCATCACATTTGTTTGCAATAGACAAAAAAAGCTATAGAATACATAAGAACACACACACACACAATTTCTTAAATGATAAAAAGCAAGTAAGCGCCGGCACCGCGGCTCAATAGGCTAATCCTCCGCCTGCGGCGCTGGCACACCAGGTTCTAGTCCCGGTCGGGGCGCCGGATTCTGTCCCGGTTGCCCCTCTTCCAGGCCAGCTCTCTGCTGTGGCCCGGGAGTGCAGTGGAGGATGGCCCATGTCCTTGGGCCCTGCACCCCATGGGAGACCAGGAGAAGCACCTGGTTCCTGCCATCGGATCAGCGCATTGCACCGGCCACAGCACGCCGGCTGCGGCGGCCATTGGAGGGTGAACCAACGGCAAAGGAAGACCTTTCTCTCTGTCTCTCTCTCTCACTGTCCACTCTGCCTGTCAAAAAAAAAAAAAAAAAAAAAGGCAAGTAAGCAATGGTTTCTGGGGCAGCGTCCTGGGCACCTGGAAGATGAGAGCAGGCTGCAGGGGTCACTGTCGCTGCAGGCTCTTCTCCCCTCTGCTTGCTCAGCGCAGACCACCTGACTGCTGGATAAGCACACGGCAGCCACACCACAGGCAGCCACACCACAGGCAGCCATGTAAGGTGAGCCACTGAGATAGACACAGGAGTGACACAGGTTACTTATGGAATAGAGATGCGTTCCTTCCATTTCCCTGTTCTCGCTGCCTGCAGATAGGAACATGAAGGCAAAAGATGGATTTCCACCCATCTTGACCAGTGCAGATGGCAGAGGGGCAGCACCAGGCACGAGTCACCCACTCTGGACTCCCACCCCAGTGTTGCTAGAAAGTTTCTGTCACTTGCAGCTATCATAATCCTATCAATACAGCAGGAGGTCACTTTTGCTCAAATATCTTTGCTTTCACATAATTTTGCTTCTTTTGCATATATTTAATATTCAAAAAATAAGTTATGTAAGTTATTATTCTAAGTAAAATATAGAAAGGATGAATTATGTGTGGCTGTACCCCATAATGTTAAGTGGTGTGTGTGTGTGTGTGG